CCACACAAGGTGGCTGAAACAAGGAACACCTAGATCGTAAAACAGCGCTGGTGGTCGGGGGGATTGCAGTCGGCTTGGGTCTCGTCTGTTTAAAAATTCCTTAGCGGCTACGTACACCAGCCAGGCCACGGCGACGATGAATGCCCACAGGTTTTGGCTGAGCCATGTGACATTTAACGAGAGAGTGTTAAGTAACCACGAGACGATGCTATCCAGGATGTCGGGCAGGGCCTTACCCGCAAGTTTAGCCAGGGCCTCCCCGAGAGGTTTAAAAACAACGACAAGTGGGTGTTGTTACCCTCTCAAGTCGACTGGTTTCTCAACATCACGCTCGGCTCCCCCTACATGTTCACGGAGAACAAAGACATCTACCTAAACAAAGTCGTGAACATCGGAACCCTGCTCGTGGCTTACGTCCCGACGCAGAGGCGTAGTGTAATCATCAGCCTACTCTCGAGCATGGCAGCCCACATGCTATAGAGTAAACCTGGGTGCAAAACGTGGGGTTGCAGGTGGTGTCTGAAATCGACGGCGTGGCCAACATCCTGGCAAGTCATGGTGAATTCCATGCTGGTCATCCAAGTGAACCATAGCAACGCGAAGTCGAAGTCACACTCTCGAAAGGAATCAAACTCTGGTGGGTCAAAACAACATCAGTATCACGTTTGCACTGTTTACGTGCGGGTGGGTGTCGACTCCCACACCAGTCTGCAGGGGGTCACCGTGACCGTGGAAGACACGATATCACTCACCAAGAAATTCCTACCCGACAACATACACCTCATGGGGTTGAAGTGCACCCCTCAGAAAAACAGCTGTGATAATAGTATAGCAATGGCCAGTCATCGTCCCAACGTCACGCTTAACGATCTAGGAGACACGGAGGGGTTCGATCTGCCTGGTGAGGAAGACACCTTGTACGTCCTACACTTGAAAGACAATGTGTACGAGTGGGTGTCACTGGCAGACTTTAAGGAGCCCGAATGGTTGATCAACATAACCCTCACCGCACCTTACGTCTCTTTGACCAAGGATGGTCATATCACCGAAATCACGGTATCTTCCTCACATCTTACCTTCCGGATTCTGATGATATTACTTTTTCACGGGGTGGGGCTTTCAACCTACTAACTTCACACAAGGATGCAAGTTTAAGTCTCGACTTACCCGATGTTCTATCGAGCCTTGTAGATATATATCCAGAGCGAGAATCCACAATCATATAACAGTCTTTCTCAAGTCCGCTCATAACGTTTTTAAAGAAATGCAAATCTTACCTGGGTTGACAGTGCACTGGCAAAACAAAGACGCGTTCGCAGTGCACCGTATCATCGTACAGCTGGGATCAGAACCCTTGGTAAGTAACTACGATGTAAGAATAAACCAACCTGTTAAGATCTCACCTATCTTCATGCACGAAAATCTGCACTTTATCATGTTTATGGGCCTGAAGTATATCAACCGAAAGTTAACGAAGACCCAATTAAAATATATCTCATAATATATATTATACGCACAGGATGGGGCTGTACCTAGTCATGGAAGAAGTAGCGAAAACACTGGAAACCGTAGACGGATTCCGGTTGAAACAGTTATATGACATAAAGCGCCAGCTAGGACAAGACCGTGATGCGCGTAGAGCATTGTATAAAAAATATCACAGGGTCGTCAATTACGTGGACGGCGTCGACACTGCCCTGGTAGCAACCGGTATGGGGTTAGGCGCGGCGGGTGCCGGGTTGTTGACCACCATCGTGGCCGCGCCTGCGGTGCTGTGTATTGAAATAACGGCAGGAGTGGTAGGGTTAGCGGAATTGACGCTTAAGTACGTATCTCGCAGACTGCAACGTAAAGCGTTCAAACACGATGAAATTAGAGTTGTAGCCGAAGCGAAGTTGAACACAATAGCCGATCATTAATCCACCGCACTAACGGACAGTAAAATCTCAGAGGATGAGTTTCGTTTGGTGAGGTTGGAAATTGCCAAATACCACCGCATGAAACAGGAGATCCGGTCCAATCCTCGTAAAAGCACCACCATCAGTTAAGACGAGAAAAAAAAGTACATAGAACAAGGCCGACAACAAATCATCAGGAAGACCAGAGAACTCATAGGAGATACATGTTAAACTGTTTTGCAGATATCATCATAACCGAGTAACCAGAAAGCCATACCCCCACACGACATGATAGGACCACGTGGCCAGTAAATTTGGGGTGCAAACGAAAAGTGGTCGGTGAAATGGAGGGTAGGAGAAAGGGTCTGACAAAGGCCTTACTGGATAAAAAGAAGCTTATGTCAGACTTGAGCCCATACCCATTCCATATACTACTTTAATGTAACAAAGCGCTCACGCCCGTTCAGGGCCGATGCGAGTGCTCACGGGAGGCAATAGCGCGGGCGCTCGCAGTTCTGAACATGCCTCAGGTTCATGGCCGCACTCCAAGAGTTGGTCAGGTTCAGGTCTCCCATCACCTCGCCGCCCTGCCACCCACAGAAAATAGGCAGAGACCAACCAAACATTGTCGAGTATGCACAAAGTCTGGTCTGAGACATGAGAAACGCTACATATGTGAAGCCTGTCCAGAGAAACCAGCCTTTAGTGTGGATACTTGCTTCAAGAAATACCATGTCCCAGAGTAAAGTACTAAAAGGATTCCCATCTCTCAGGGTGATGTCTGTATGATTGGTTTTAAACAGGTTCTTAACCAGAGTTTTGACTTTTTGTGGTTCTTTTTACCGCCAGGAGACAATTGCTGCTTGTGGCTATTTTGTTATAAAATACTACTGATGTAGCTGAGAGATAACTCGTAGTATCAAATTCTGTTACATTTGATAACACGAGTGTACTTATGTAGTAAGGAGCTAGTCAACGTTTTAACCTTTGAACTACAGGAACTTTGACCTGGTTTTAATAATGAATTTCTTTCACACAAAAACAGCGTAACGATATAACTAAATTTCGACTATATAACCACCGGTGTATGCGTCCCCAATTTGTCAAACACAGTACAGTTATCCCCTTATAATTTCGTGCTTTCAAGTTTACACAGATTCCCGAACGTTGGTTGGTTGAGAGAGCGGTCATGTGATCTAAATTTCAAGGTTCATTACTCTTGAACCCTCTAATCGTTCATACTTGTGTAAACACCGTTCATACGATGTGTGAACGTTTTTCGCTTCGGTTTCAAGGACCCCCAATAATTGGTGATGCCAATTTCGCGAATCGAACCTGTTTCAAGTCACCCCAAGTTTGGCAATGTCACTACCAAACGGATTGCCGAACATTGTTCCTTTTCACAGGAGTTTAATGTTTCGCAGTTTGCGGGTTCATCTGGCGGTTTTCTGCCCGAGGTCTGTTTAATAACTGCTCAATAAATTTCACAATAAACAATCACAAATAAATAGAATACAACAAGATCAGCTTCCTATTAATACGCCGCTTTAACTTGAAGTCGGTCAGTGTATTATTACGCGGTCAAACAAGGTATTTACAAGTGAAAAGGTGAAAAGGTTAAAATGCTATTGTTATTGCTTCTGATATTTGTTTCTGTTTGATGCTGTTATTGATGTTATACTTATTAAAGCAGTTTCAAACCTCATAACGAATTTGTTGTTATATTTTAAAGATCGGATACTTTGAGAACTATTTCTTCAAGGGTTGGGATACATTTGTAAAGAAAATCGCTGTGTATACAAACATCGCTGCAATACGTACGTTCTTGAACCGAATGGCATTACAACATTTTACAGGTATTAAAACACACTAAACAATGATCATCTACAAATGGGTGGAAAACGTATGTGTAAACTTCAAAGTGCGAAATTAAACTCACTCGTTCACACGAGTTTGAACACCGCTTTGACATCGTTCATTTTTCAGTGCAAACACACAAACTGACATTCAATTCTTAAAACATATATACATTCAACAACACTGTCTTATTTGTTACCTAATACAGGGGTAGAAAAATACCATTGCCCGAAGCCTGGGTCAAGTGGAATTTAACGATAAATATTCACATTAAACTTTACCATGGTACAGTAATGCCAAACTACTGAAACATTTTGACATATGTATTTTGATGATGAAATAAAAAAATGCAATTGCTACCAATTGATATAGATTATTTGCCAAAGAAACCAAATTGTTAATTGTGGAATTGTTAAATGTGGTCAAAGGAAATTGTCATGGTCCGGGTTAGAATGAACCTTCAGTAACCCATGCTTGTCCTAAGAGGCGACTAACGGGATCGGGTGGTCAGGCTCTCTGACACATGTCATCGGTTCCCAATTGCACAGGTAGATGCTCATGCTGTTGATCACTGGATTGTCTGGTCCAGACTCGATTATTTACCGACCGCCGCCATATAGCTGGAATATTGCTGAGTGCAGCGTAAAACTAAACTCACTCATTCACTCACTCAGGGAAATTAATATTTGGTCAAGTGGATTTTGAAGTTTACTGGACCTGTATCCAGTGGAGTTTTAATAAACATTTTAACCCCTGCAATATATTTCCAACCCCAGTAATATATATGAATAGATAGATAGATAGATAGATATAACAGCACACTTATAGCAAGGACATAACCCTGGCTATTATCATTGTGACAGATGGACATTTTCAATGTCACATCATCTAGCCTGTATGTTGTGACCAGACTGAATGTCCTCAAGCAGTTACTATAGTATAGAACATTAGAAGGCCTCAAATGTAGACACAGGAAGTGATTTCGGGGATGCCTACACAAACAGCCCAGTAGTTATCGTGTTGGTGATATGATTGATAGGGCTTGGCCGATATGGCGTGAGACTGTTGATCTGTCTGACGCCCTCGTCTGACACTGACATTAGACGAAGCCTGTAACGGTGTACGCCTCCTCTCTTCCGCCAGCTGACCGCCCAATTATCGAAAGTGCAACCACATCAAGTAGCCACAGCAATCCTATCCGTTTGGCTTTAATGTTATTATGAGGATTAACAAAGCCACACAGACCTACCGTCAGCTGATTTGTCTGTCATGCAACTCTACGCGAACACCTTGGTCTGGAACTGCCGTTATCTCACAAGGACGAACGTGTTTACAACAGCCGGAGGTCCAAGGGAAAGCACCGACCGTGTATAGCCGTTCGTCGTCAGACGAGGACTACCTCTTACCAACCTCAGACGAACATGAAACATTTCTCAAACACATTTGAAATGGCGTAAATATTTTAGGCCATTGGTTTTAATTATGTCCATATTGCATTTCGAGCTTCAAATTAAATTAACCAAATAAAATTACATTGTAAATTTCGGAGGGGCTTGGGTCAGGCCTAGCTAATTACTTTTAATAAATGTTATTAAACAAGAGATTCGCGGCATATGCTCTGTCAGTTCCTCTATTGATGCCCGCTAATAGGTCATATGTATTTACGCATTGGAATAGACCCACGGCAGTAGCATGTATCTGTTGGCTCCAACATATACAAATCAGAGGGGGGTCCAGGAATTTTCGGGGGGTGGGTGGGGGGTAGGGCTTCCACGGGTACTCGAGTACTCGAGGACGAGTCGGGTTCAGCTGGACTCGAGTCCATTTTCAAGGACTCGAGGACTCGAAAAGGGGAGATAACTCGAATTATTTGACGTTGACAGACTGTCTGCCATGTGCTAAGCACGAGCGGCCGTTAACGTCTAATATTAAGATAAGATATAACTTTATTATCCCGGAGGAAATTCTTATACATCCAAACTGTCTCAAAATGAATATATACACAGTTCACAAAAATATACACAATAACATGCTCAAAACGAATGCTATTTACAAATAAATCTGACATGATATAATTCAATTAACCACATAGGTAAAGAGGCTGAATAATTCTAGTTCTAATCACATGATGGTGTGATTCAAAATATTTGTTGTATTCACGAATACTTGATGGTATGAAAGACTGTCTAGCTCTGTTTGTTTTGAGGGAAGGGAATCGACAGCAGCGTCCAGAAGGAAGTAGTTCAAAATGGTGAGATCAAATATATCAACTATCAAATCTAATTTTAGCTGCCTTTTTGACAATCTGGCGCTCATAGATAAAGGGAATATACTCGAAAGACACTCCAGAAATTTTGCAAGCAGTATTAACAATTTTGAAAAGTTTGGTTTTGTTGCGATGAGACACATCCCCATACCAACATAGAAAATTGTAGGTCAACACACTTTGAATAAAGGTTTGATAAAAAACTGTCATTACGGTTTTGTCAATGTTTTGACGATAATAATGTTCAGAATCAGAAATTAGGCCAGTAACAGTGGCGTCATCTGCAAATTTCACAGTGAACAAGTCATAAATTGACAAGTAAAAGTCATTGGTATACAAAATGAAGAGTACGGATGAAGGAACACAGCCATGTGGATCTCCAGTAGAGGTTGAGAGCAAAGAAGATTGATAGCCACTGACACTGACATACTGAGTGCTATGTACCCTGAATTTTTTAATCCATCTGATAATGTTTTTATTAACACCTAGATTAAATAGCTTACTCCTCACAGGGTGTGGCTGTATGGTATTAGTTGTTACAAGTCTGCAGATGAGAGTAATTATTATACATCGTTTGAGATTTCACTTCTTAAAATGATTAGGTAACTATCTTGACAATTGATAGACATGGAGAGTGAGTGAGTGAGTTGAGTTTTACGCCGCACTCAGCAATATTCCAGCTATATGGCGGCGGTCTGTAAATAATCGAGAAGATAAAAAATCATATGTATGGGCATATCTTGATCTGGATAGAGAAAAGAGCAAAATAACCAAAATGCCGCATGTGCAGTATATCACTGCGTTTTGCAGGCAGTACAAGAAGTACGAAGAACAAAACATTTGTCAAGTAAACATCCAAATATTGATTCTGACCAATAGGAAATGTTAGTCACATGACGATATGAAGTCGGAAAGAAGTAAGTGTTCACTTGTGTGATCGGAACACGTCATGCAATTTACGCTATCGTTTGCTTGAAAGGTATGAATTTCGAGTACTCGGGTCCGAGTCGAGTCTCATCCCTCGAGTACTCGAGTCCACAAAAATGGACTCGTTGAAGCCCTAGTGGGGGTTGGGGGTTTGTCACATTTAAGCATAGGTACTCTGGCTACGTTTCAGCTTTATCACACAGGAGTACGTCATTACATAGGTGCAATTGTAGTTTATGGTAAGTATATACATGTCACGCAACAATTAACCACAATTCAAAATAAGTATTTTTAGCAGAAACGCAAACATGAGATAGCATCATGAATCGTTACTATCAATGAAAGTAACTCACTTAACACATGTTATTAATATCTTACAGACTGCTCACATTCATGACACACCTCAGAAAAAAGAAAATAAATTCAAACACATTTAAAGTTTGTAACGGCATGACAAATAAACCTAACTGAATCTTTCTTTCCATGCCTTTACTTCACTTTTCAAAGATAGCGGCGTTACTAAATCAGCCTCCCAAAATAACAGCCTGTCTTCGCACTTGTTCACATTCTGAACTGAGCTGATATTTGCCGGTACCAGAGAAAACAGCACTGATCGAACTCTTTCATCATCTGAGAATCGCAAACGCAGTTCTTGACTGAGATAATCAATAAATGGTATTGCCAAGTTTATCTTGAAGTGTTCCTCAGGGCATTTTGTCTGGACATATCCACGATGCCTTTGGCGTCCAGCAAGACGTGGAACAGTGATATCTCCACCGATCAGTTCTGCCATATTTCGTGCGTCATCAAAGACCTCCTTGAAACTGACGTCAATGTCTTTTCTGACACTGCTGATCTTTTCTTTGATTGCATCGATCATTGTGTAAGCGTCATAGATATCTGCATCTCTCTTTGCAATTTGATGGTCACTGGCTTTACGATACCAAACATGTATTTGGCAGTAAAGAAGGCTACTAAATAAGACCCAGACTTGATTGTATGAAGCAACCCCTGAGCAGTGATTCGTGAGTGTCTATCCCAGGACCAGTCATCATCCTTACTGGATAACTCAGGATATGTGGTCGGATCTACAAGAGTTTCAAGGGCAATACAAACGTACTCGTACAGCTCAAGGAATGTTTCAAAACATGTATGTCTTTCGACCCATCGGGTTTTACACAAACCTTTGAGAGTTTTCCGTCTACTCTCAGAACCTTTCACATTTAGTACATGTTCAATGAACCTTTGCCGCTTGGACGAAGAATAAAAAATATAAAGACTTCACTCAGACTGTCCATCATGTTCCTGATCCCTGGAAGCTTACAGGATGATGCAATGCTTAAATTCAGCCGGTGACTACTGCAGTGAACAAAGAGGGACAAGGGCTGAATACTTTATATTCTTAACTTTTGATGAGGACATGGCGGCAGCACCATCGTAGGATTGACCTCTAATATTGGTAACATCAAGGCCATGTGACTGTAGGCAGTTGATGAGTGCTGTCGATATAGCCTCGCCAGTTGTTCTTTCCAATGACAAGAAATCCAGAAAGATTTCCCTGATCTCTGGTTTTATTTTCACATCAACAAACCGGAGGCACACACTTAGCACTTCCTTATTAGATGTTTTGTCCGTTACTTCATCAGCTATGACAGAGTACACGGCTCCTTCTTTACCTAAAAATTCTGTAATGTTTGCCCGAATGCATTCACCAATGATGGAAATTATCTCATTCTAAATGGTCTTAGATGTGTAGGTCGCATTCTTTTTGCAGCTTTGCAGGTGGTTGTGCAGAATGTTATTTGATTCAGTCGTGAGTGTCAAAAGGGCCAAAAAGTTTCCTTTATTGGGGGCAGTGCTAGAGGCGTCATCTCTGTGACCTCACAGAGAAATGTTTCGTTTTCCACAAAAGAATATTGCCTTAATGATACAATCAAGTACATGTTTGTATTTCTCAACTGTTCTTGGTTTCTTTTGGAAATTGAATACTGAAGAGATGTATCTTGACTCTCATGTACTCGTTTTAAATTCAAAAAAGCCTCAACTGCATTCCTGTGATATTCAAACTGTTCATGACAAGTAAGAACACCATCTTTGCCTTTAGCTTTTGAAAATCTTTTGAAGGGAGTGTGAACTAGAATACCACTCTCCACACGTTCATCTTTTGGTGGAAAGACAAGGCAATATTTGCAAAGTCCTCCCTCTAAAGTGGGACTGTACACAAGCCATTCGTATTCACTTAACCATGACCTTTGAAAAGTCAGTTTCCTTGTTCTGTTTTGCTTTGTGATCATGTCAACTGGAAATTCGTATTGAATCCCAGGAATGAAGTGATCAGTTACGTACTTCAACTTTTCACTGTCAGTCAACGCAGAAACTTTCTTCTTACCAAGAACTAAATAGCCAATATCAACTGAAGTACCTGAATCTGGTTTATCAGGTTCTTCACGTTTACTGTGATAAGGATCAATGTCGGATGCAAAACCTACATCTGTTTCAGGAGCTGCAGCAACATTCTCACTTGCACACTGGCCGAGAGGTTTGTCGATGAAGCTGTCTAGGTTTGATGATGATGTTTGTGGACAAGAGGTGTCTTCATGCTTTGGAAAGAATGATTTTATTTTTGTTTGCTCTACTGATCGTTTTTCCTTTTTAACTGGTAGGTCTGGACTACTCTCCGGATGTTTCAAGAAAAATGTCTCTTTCAGGCATGATGGATTATCTTCAGTAGGAACCAATGCCACAAAATGGTTTGGTTCAAACATTGTACCTGGACGTGAACAAAGAGCTCCATCTCTTGATCACATGGCATGAATGGAACCTTTTTGACATCTGAGGTTTGTTGGAGGTCTTATCGTTGCATTAAAGAACGGTCTAATTGCCTGATTAAGTTCAGGATAGAAACAAGTTACTGTCTCGCTAAGAATGGATGGTAAACACAGGACGGGAGTCATGGAAGACCAGGATCTGTCATTGCATGTCTTTTTTGCCTCAGATTCCAATGCCTTATGTCTGTCTCTAGTGGAATCAAATATGTCAGCAGCTTCTGGTGTTAACAACATTGAAAACAGAGTGTCTTCATTCGAAGTTAATATATTTGGAAGTTTGGCTGCCAAAGAGATGAGTTCATGTTGGGTGTAATAATTCGCATTCAGATAAAGCTCTGATTTTCAGGCT